GTATGAAATCTTTTAATATTATCAGTCTGATAAAAAAAATAAAAATCGACAGTATTTGGTAAAATTTTACCGAAGCGAGTGCCTCGGTTCGCCTCATACTGGCTACGGCGGTGTTATATATTATTTATTTTGCAGCGATGAAAATTGTGTCTGTTACCTAGGCTGCGATGTCTAATCGAAAACATTTCTAGCATACTGTATACACGCGTAGAAAAAAAACTAATAAAAGAAATATCGGTGAATACTCGAAAATACAATTAGACATTTTTAACAATTTTTTGTTGATCCCCTTGCCCATAATTTTACCGAAAATCGTTTTAGAAACAAAATATACGAGTCAAATTGTTTTATTGCCTTTGTACCACTGTTAACCTTTTATTTGTCATGCAAAACTCTGGTTCGAAAGCCAACAAAACTGCATGACGCTCGAAACCAAAACGTAGAAACCGAAACAACGTGGCTCTCGAACGTTTCCGTTGGATTTTAGCCTTTGCTGTTAAGTTAAAGTACAGGGGGAAAGTACTAGTCTATATTGCTACGGAGAAAGTCATGAAAATAATCGAGCCTTGTTTTCAGTAAACGAACTTCCTGTTTTAAACTGTGTCACTCGCTGCGATAACGCAACGGCTAAAGGTATTGTTGAGTGTCACGTGCCACCTAGCCGGCTGAAACGGGAATTTTGCTTCTGGTAGATGTGATGAATGGAAAAATGTCAAAACAGCTTGAGATAAGTGATCTTGCCGAGAGATGAATAGGTCTTTCTGGGATTCTGTCTACAATGAGGCCATAAATATCAGATTTAAAGGAAGAAGAAAAAAGAAAACACTATGAAATTCAGAAAGATCACACACCTTATCAGAATCTGTCTGCACACTCGGCGGTTTTTGCAGCCCCCGGACGCGCAAAGCTTGTTGTAATGATTTTAACTTTCCAAAATTCCGTTTTGGTTTGATTATCGGTCAGGAGCGGAAAACCAAGACTTTCGACGCTTGTTTAGTTCGTGACCTCGTCGCTTATATTAAAAACTTTGACTAGTAATTGAGGGCAAGTCTAGAAAAAAAAGTTTTTAAATGCTTTGGCAAAAGCGAAAAGAAATATGTTTATTCAGTTCAGAAAGGAAATATAGTTACAGCTTAGAAATCGAAGAGTATTCTGGCTTTCAAGTTAAGCTGACGACCGATCAATTTACAAGAATTACGTCCGTCTTCAAAACTCAATCCCTTTATAAGTGAAGTTTTTTCAGTCTAAAGTTCACATCAATTCCAACTGTCTATGAAGAAAGCGTCTTTAATGTAACGGAAGCTGACTGCTGACAGGAATAGACATAATTAACGGACAGGAATTACTACAAAAGAACTTCCTGTCTAAAAATTATCGATATTTTTAACTACAACATATACAACACAAACTTAGTGTAGTCGAATGCGGGGAGTTCCAAATTAATAAAACATAAAATGCAATCACCCCTACCAAATGGAACCTAGGTTTTCCTTGTATGACGCTTTTGGCAATGAAAATATTAAAAATAGATGATATTCAGCGAGATAATACGGTGATGTAGCCTGGAACCAGGCTCTGTAGTGGGGAGAAAAGGCAAAAAACCCAGGATGAAGAGCATAGATCGGCGAGCTAAGCGAGCGGAGTGGTGGAAAGGGAAATGGCGGCGGTGTTATAGCAAAACTCTAGTGATATGGGCATCCCCTTCTCATATGGCTTAGGGTTAGGGATAGGGTTATAGGGGATGCCCATATCCTTAGGGTTTTGGGATTGGGGATGCCCAAAACGCGGAGATGCCCATATCACTCTGACAGCGGCCCTCATCGTCATATCATCGCTCAGTTTCGCCTTTTTCCGCCATTGCGGAGCTTGGTCCTAGGCTAGCTATGATGCTGCAGGAGCTTGCTCCGAAATATGCTGGGAATAGTGCACAAAGAGACGAACGGATATGCGGTTTTACAAATGGTATATACAGCTGACTATTCTGAGGGGGTGTGTTCGAGCAACTCGCTCGCTACACGATGAGGTACCACGAATCTGATTTACATCTTGGCCTTTATTCTTCTTAATCTTCTCACAACTTCTGCTTACTCTACTTTTCCTACTTCTCTACTTCTACTCTACTAGTTCAAGTATAGTTGCGGTTTTAATAGCCAAAGCTGGACGTGTTTGGGTTAGCTGACCGGAAGGAGTTTCTGTTGTATATCTTATCGTTAACATTGCAACAGGTTTGCTATTGTCAGGGAATAGGTTAGCCTACGCACAGTCGCAACTGACAAGTACCAAAGAACCAAGGTCAGCTCTAACACCACAAACACGACCACCTGTAACATTCCTAATATGGCAATAAGTAAATTCGCGAGCTAGGCATAACTTCAATTACAAGTAAAAACAAAAGATCAAAACAGGAAAACAGTACGTGAACAAAAACAAGACTTAATGAAACAAAAACTAAACTTAAAAGTTGAGATAGATCCGTCTTAAAAATAGCTTTCAAAATACTTCACAACAATTCATTAAGCGGCCGCCCTACAGACCCTAGGCGTACTGTTAAGTGGGCGCCTCAGGTTGTCCGCTCGATAGAGGTTCGTCATAAATTAGCATAATCTTTAGCAGAAACATCATTTGATTTTAAAACAAACGCGCGACGGAAGAAGCAGTATTGGCCCCAATTGTTCAAAAGCTGGATAGCGTTATCCACGGGATAAATTGCTATCCATTGGATAAATGTTAGGGAAACCAATTGCCCTATCCAGTGGACCGGGTGTCAGCCGGTGGATACTGCTATCCGCCTTTTGAACAACTGTGGCCTGGTCCACAATGGGTCGTCACCTTTTATCTCGGACTGTATTTTCCTTCATCATATTCTTAAAAAGAAGCTAAACTAAAAGAATCAAATCCTTGATGGCGGCTTGATAGAGGTGACAACAACGGGAGATTCGTTGACACGGCCAAAAGGAGGCGGCTTAATAGAGGTTTAATTTCCCATTCTTTTAGTCTACAATTATTTAGCCTGCGTGGCAAGCATGTCCTTGTGGTTTAGGGTTAAAGAACGAGAACGAGAGTCAGAGACCGCGCGGAAAATGGCGCAAGTAAAAGAGCGGGGAGGGGATGGGGAGGAAAGGAAAAGTTTCCTTCGTTCCCCTCCCCCCTCCCACTTCTTTCAGTTTTTGGCTCTCGTTTCATTTCTCGCGCGGCCAAAACCGAAAATCCCATTCCTCGGTCTTTTTTAACTCCGGAACCAAACGGAAACATAGAAAACGCTTGCTACGCAGGCTAAAAATTATTTTGGGTCTTTGATTGCTAGCGGATTAATTGGTGGCCGCTTAATGGAGGTTCAACTGTAGTTTTAAAACTACAAGAATGCAAGTTAACGGACGTCTAGCGATTGCCACTCCTCAGTTTTGCTCATTTAGTCGAGTTGTGATGTTTTCGGCAACCTTTTACTAAGTCTCAATTTCTGCGAAGAGGACCGTAAGACTACCGTAGTCAGGGCATTCTGCGGAAACATCAGAAAGCTGCGGAAAGGGCTCCCGGGGATAATCCCTATAAAGGTCTCTACGGGGAGGCTCCGCCTGGAAGGGGTAATTTTTTTTCAGGTATTTTAAAGGGCGGGGATTTCACTTGTTTTCTGTCTTTGAAAAAGCCCAAGGGCTAACAGATGGAAAAGTAGAGAAAACTTTCTAGTTTGGCGACTTATTCATAATTTAAAGAAAGTGTATGTACGGCAGTACTCAGGGGTGTAAAGTTCTAAACTAGGTACGTGAAAGAGGTGCGTATACCATCTGTCAATAGAAGATATACGAAAGGGGTATAAGGAGTTGGACATCGGAGCGGATCCCCTCTGTATAAACATTTGCTGAGTACCCCCCCCGGCCTTCCAGTCGTTTTTCTATCACTACGGCGTTCTAGGCATAGCCTGTGCTAAATTGGCTACCTAATATTGTACTCATTTCAAGATATCATTTGCAGCCACTAATATCTGATTGACTTACTAAGTGCAGCTACGAATTCAAAGTACAATTTTCGCACCTAGCGAAAATGAAAGTAACTTTTCTATGTACAAACTTACGCCGCTAGGTTTGGCATTTCAAGCTAGATCCAAAACTCTGAAATGATATTTCAGAAGTCATTAGGAATAAGGATTCATGGATGCGCCCTTAAAACGCATCTTTCTATCGAAGCTTTTGCTTTAATATCGTCAATATAGGACGCTGTAGTATTGTTAATTTATTAGAGTTATTGGCTTTGCGGGTTCTGAGATTTCTGCTCGCAATCTAATCCGGTATAGTATGAATACCTGTTCGATATGTGCCTCTCTACTTAAGAGATTAGCGCGGCGCAGCTGCTCTCCGTAAAATCCGTTCTTATGCGCGAACAGAAGCTCTATCTGGGTACCGCATGTGACCTCAAGTGTCTAAGAGTTATTGAAGGATTCTTGTTGTTCCCAGTAAGTACGCTCTCTGTAAAGATTCTCACCCCCGCCCGCCCCCTCCTTCCAAAAAAGAAAAACCGAGAAAAAAGGGAAAAAAGAAAACAATGAAGAAAACCTCAAGTGAAAAATTTTTTGCCAATAACAAATAGAATACACTTAAAAGAACTTACGAGAAATTCTTCTTAGACACAAAAAGTCATACCATCTAACATGCTGAAAGCGTCACTTTAAATAGTGGGCTGTAAAATGATGGGCTTTTAAAATATTCGGGAAAGTTGAAGCAAACAAAAATACAGCTAAAGACAACAGGCAAAGTTGCGACTTTTTTCCACACTATTATTTCTTCATAGTAAAGGTCCGATTTATTTTTATTGAAAGTTCGAAATCATAACAATTCTTATAGTATTTTCTAGTTGCATGGGTGCTGTTTGCAACTTGAAAAAAGATGATCTTTTTTAATTTTTAAAGGTTTCATAATAGAATTGAAGCCACAGGTAGCAACATATGTAAATCATGGGGTTGTATGCAAATTTACGTCATTTAAAAATTGGAGTCAAGTAAAGGATAAAAATATCATAGAATGTTTTATTTGTTGTCCTTTCTTGGCTTTTTTTGGCCGCTTCAGAGGGATTCCAGTGTTTTTTGCCATTTGGGTGTTCTCCCATTGAAATTCCTCTGGAACAGCCAGAATTATCAGGAATGTGCAAAAAAATAAAACATATTAAGGGAAGGAATGCCAATGTGCTTTTATCACAATTTTCGCATTAAAATTTGCAGAGCAATATTTGTAATTATCACTGATGTTATGCAACAATAATTCTAACATTTGACCTTTGGCCACCTGTGGTGAAGCAGGCATAAATGTCAAGATTGTACCATGGTTGCCACTCAACCAAGTTATTTTTGGCGCATTTTAACATTGTTTCAAACAATTTTGAGAACATGAAATCATGAATACTGGCATATGAGAGAAACAGGTAAAGAAGATCATCACATTTACACAGTTGCCAAAAGAAAGCGCCAACCCTGACCTCTGTGATACTGGTGCAGTGCTCTAACAAATTAAGCTAACAAGCCAACTGGAAGTTGGTCATTAAACTGGTTTGTAATAGACCCAGAAAAGATGAGGATGAAATAATGAATGGACAAATTTCATTGGAAGTGCGGAACAAAGAAATAAATCTAAAGAAGATCATCGCCATTTGAGATGCAACTAACATTGATGAATTATTTATTCTAACAATAATTTGAAGAGTTGTCACCTTCAAACTGTCATTTAGTATTTACTGTATTTCCAGAACAATTTTTGCCATTAATGGACCCTGCCTGCAATCCACTTCAGTGACAAAATGAAATGTTGTGGTTAAACTTTCACCTGGTTCAAATTATATTTTACTTTGTAGTTGGGTATGATGATGCACAATGAAAGTAACATTTGAACCGAGGATAAAACTGAACCACAAAAAATACTGTACAACAAAAAAAGACCCCAAGCACAAATGAATAGCTACTTATGCCTTGTCCACTAAAGTGTAAGCCACTGGAAACATTCCAAAAATGGTGACAAAGGGAAGGGTTTAAACCTCTTGTTAACAAAAGCATTTTAAAAAAAAGATGCTAAGTAAATTATTGTAAGTGAGGATATTGACTTCTTACTGCCGTCACGTTTATACTTCCTGTCACACAGGCATTAAACAAGTCAGCTGCCTGATCCATCAACACTGTCACTATCAATGGTGTTCTTTTCTTGTTTTGTACTAAACTCCGCCAACAAAATTCCAATAACAGTTACTGGTTAGGAAGAGTAATTTTTGATGGACAATTAGTAGAAGTTTAAACTTGAGCCTTTAGACCTGTTTCCAAATATTTTTATTCCAAGTTTACACTGAAAATTCGAATCCAAACATCCTCATGAATTCCATCCTGAACTGTTATTACAGTGTATATTATACAAAAAAATGAGCACGCTCTTCTCATTTTCCTTCCAGCAGATACATGTGTGTGTGTGCAGACCATGTGAAGCAGTTCCTCTTTCTCTTTTGCAGAAGTACTGTATATCCAGAAATAATTTATAACCACTGTCTTTATTTGTTATCTCACTACTCCTTTTCTATAACCAACTTTGTATGTCTGTACATTTGACCTAAAGAAACCTGTAAATAAAATAAATTACAGTTAATAATATTGTAAATGCTTATATAATAATAATTACTTGAATGGACGTAACAAGCACCCTATAGTTGGTCTTCATGTTTCTCTGAGTTGCTCAACACTCCAAGAATTTACCAACCATTACAGAAATCAAAGTTACTTTGGAAATATTCATTCCAAAAATCCATAATTTACTTGGTACTTATAAGACTCCCCTCCCTTCCCTGCCAGCACCCCACCTCCAACTTGGGTATAAGCCCTCCAATGGGCCCTTTGTAGATAAATGGTCACATGGGACAAACACACCTTGTTAGATGGTAAACGATGCAGAGAGGGAAGAAAAACAAAAGGATTACATCCCTCAAAATGCTAATATCCTTTCTTTTCAAGGTTCCACTGCATTGTTGGGCCTGCAGCAATTATTCTCTCTCTTTATGGACCTTTCAGGGATAATGAAACAAATAATTTAAATGGAAAGTAACACGGTTAAAAATCCCAGCTGGTCGGAGGCAAACCAGCCGGCTGTTTTACAAGGGTGACTGAGGATTTGAACCAGGACTACTGGGAACAAATCCAGTGAGGGGTCAGGGTGGGACTTGATCTCAAGGCCTCGAAATTACAAGTCCAATGCTCTAACCCCTCGGCCACGCTGCCTCCTAAGGAAATGACAAAAACAACAAAATGGCGTGGTACCTGTCTTTTCATCATTTCTAAACTGTCTTGTCCTTTTTTCATTAAAGACTTGATCACATCTGGATCTGAAATATCTCTGTTTTCCCTAAAGGCATCTCTTATTCTTCTGGTTGCATACATTCTGAGATATTGAATTAAGATTAAAGAATAATCACAATGCAATTTTAATTGATCTGTAATACCATATGTTTTATTTTATAACATTCTTTGATTAATATTGTAATTTAAGTTTAAGTGGTACGTCTCCATACTACCTGCCTCGATTAGCATCACTGTTTGCAGGTAATCTGTACTTGTAATATATTGATTTTCATGTAAATAGAATAGTTTGTGCATCTGATCATACATGTAAATAACTTTACAAAGATAAAAAATTCAATTCTGATCTGTGTAACTTTATGTAATGAAACCAACTAAACTCCTAGTATAGGGTAATGCCAATGTAACTGAAACTTTCAAATCTTGTGTCTTATAGGGGATGCTGACTGACATATGGGATGACACCTCAGTCAACATTGTATGTGGCTGGCCAATGTTTGGTCGTTACTTTGCTGACAAAATAACAAGGAAAGAGAGCAGAAGATTGACGAAAAAAAAAAAAAGAGTGAGAGGGAGAAAAAAGAAACTGTGATGGGATCTTTAATCAGGTGGTTTGCTTCTTTTAATGTCTCCTTAATTGATAGCTCCTTCTTTTTTGTCCAGCGTATCTACTCAAACAAAATCGAACCAAAATTCAATCGAACCCAATCAAACACCAATCATTCGACTGGGTTCGGTAATCGAAGATAATTGAACATCTATTATGCTGTGCGTTCGATTATCGAACCAATAGAACAATTCGAACCTGATTTGAATTTGTTCGGAATCCATTTCTTGATAAGCAAATCATGAAGGATTAATCATAATAAACCTTTATTGAATGGGATTAACTTATAGAAAAATGTCCAAATATCAAACTAAATGTCAATGTTCACTTGCACATATGTAAAAGAGAACAAAACAACAGTTAAATACTGAAATGCATTAATTATTGTTTATATTTTTATATTAGTGGGTAGGAAATGGCCTCTGCTCTGAATGTCGCGGTAATACTCAAACAGAAGTTGCACCATTTCATTAACTGCAACACAAGCAATGGTGTTCAACATGTGAATAATGATTATGAGCAACCAAAATGCTGTTGCCATAATTCTTTCCAAGCTTTCAAGAGTGACGTGGACATGGGGAGGGCAATTTCCAGCATGACAGAAATCGCTAACAAAGGATTGAGGGGGATGGTTCACCGTACAAAATTTCTGCAAAATATACACTTGTTTGATAATAGGGTAATATTTAGGCATTTTTTTTCATTACTCCGTTTTTTATCCGTGATTAATATTTAAACATAAAAATCAAACAAAAAGTAGGTCGGTAATCGCACGTTTGATTGAGTACAACCATTGGTCGTTTGGTCATTGAACATTCGATTTTGTGTGATTGACCAAATTATATTGTGAGTTGGATTATGTTCGATTACGGAACCCATGTGTTCGAGTGGGTTCGATTAGATACGCCGGGTTTTTGTCAATTGACACCATTTCAACTCAATTCATATTAACTATTTGTGTGAAATAGTATGATTCATGGGAGCTATCGTATCAATAGTACACACGACAGGTTATTGGTTCAAAAAGTACATACGTCTTACGAGTGTGAGCCAGCCTTGAAAGATGACGTAATACACCCGTAAAAGTTACACATAGTACACAGTAACATAGTACGGGCATTAAATTTAGATGCTGTAACATCCATTTTCTATTATGGGTTTGGAATGTTTTGTAAGCTCCATAAAATGACTATGCAGAGACATTTAACCAAACTTTTGCGTAAAACCTGGTAAAACATCGGCGTAAGTCACGTATATAATAGGGATGGTGTGCGATTTCAAGCCCGACAACTCCGTGAAAATTGCAATGATTGTAAAGGAAAACTACCCTTTTCGTTAAGAAGCCGCTATTTCACAAGTACCTGTAGTTATAACTGGTAAATGACCTTCCGATTCGCAACATTTGACGATAAAGTTGTAAAACCTCACTCCTGGATGCCATTTTGAAAACCGCCATGTGCAATTCTCGCGCATGCTTCTTATGATTGTTTTGCTCGTGGGCTCACTTGCGAAATCTTTCGTGTTCGTCGACGGGAAAGCGAAAGCCACATGAGCGTGTGATGTGTGGTGTATGCATGACTCAGTAATATTTTCCAAATCTATGTATAAAGGAGAAACCACTTCGTGACAGGTCATGCATATTTCCTCTAGAGAGTGAAGGATGGTGAAAGTCGGCTGGTTTTGGTTCGGGGTAATCATACAACTAACTTTCTTGGTTCATTCGAGGTAAGAAATATCGAATGTCTGCATTTTAGCTTGCTTACTGTCTGCTCTCGCCACGGTTGGTTTGCTTTCGGATTTTTGGTAATCAATTTGTTTTCAGATAAAAAACATACAAGCACACATTATGAATTTGTTCGAAACCATTCTTTATGAAACAAGTCCCATTTTATAAGCTTAAATTTGTGAGGAATAAACTTGATTTTAAGTTTACCTGCAGGAAATATGCGCGCGAAAATTTGCTTGTCAGACCGCCTGGTGTCTTGTATAGAAATCTGATCTGAGATTCTTTTGTTATTGATGGAATTTGTTGACTCATCATGAAGGCGGTCATGTCCATTTTACTGAATCATCCCTTAGCCAAGACTTCTTTAAAAAAATACAGTATACAAAGAGGACAATTCAAGACTACAGAGTTCAAAAAGTTTTTTATGCGTTTATCAAGCGATCTCGCAATAAAATCTCAATATTTTAAAATAGTGCACAAGATTGCGGAAATACGGCAGACTCTTAGCGCGAGGAAAGAGGCAATAGGTTTTTTGGTTTAAAGATTAAATTACATTGAAGGCACATTTACCTTTCTGAGGTGAGGGTACAGTATATAAGGTGTATTCTATACCCTCTGCCTGACTTGTTACATACAGTTTTTCATTTAAAAATGGCATTTTATTATGGGTGAGGGGAAGGGGGTGAGAGGTAAGGGGTTGAGAGGCAGTGTGTGAGGGATAGAGGTCAATGTGCAGGCACAGAGATGATTATGTAACAAAAATATAATTCTTTGTTATAGGCCAGCAAATATCCGTTTGAGATTTGGCCCAAGCCCCTTTATCAAAGCAAGTGCTGGAGCAAAACCATCCATATGGAAATGAATTTAATTTGCATGTGAATGAAAAGTTATTTGCAAATGAAGGGATAAGCACCAGGACTCACTTTGAAAAAGGGGCTTAAGATACAGGGCTCCAAAAAACATGATATAATGTACAGCTTATTGTTTGGGCAAGCAGCCTTACATTTTGCTTTTCTAGGGCCAGTTCCTGCTCTTCTTACAAAACTGAATGCAAGACTGGCACTACAGCAAAGGACTGATTTATTATTGGCCAATATTTTGGCTAACAAAATTAGCCTTCCTGAGGGCCATACCGCTATACCTAGAGAAAACATTTTGCTCATCTTAGTTACTGATTTACAGTGTAGTTAAAGGATGACTTACTTGCCCTGAAAGAAAACTGGATCGTTATATGTTTGTGGGAAACTGCTGACCTACCCCTCCCCTAAGCCAATACTTTGCCCTAATCGAGAAGTAAGTGTTGATGTTGGCTTATGGGAGGGGTAGGTGGGTAGTTCCTCAAAACGTATAATAATCCAGAAAATCTACTTGTCGCGGACTACTGCATGGGACTTTTATTTCGAGCCTTGAGACTTGCCATGACAAAGTGATCATAGTTTATACGGGTCTTACATCTAAACCTCACTGTTCCTCAACACTTACCTCATACCCTCTTCTGTGACAGATTCAGATCTTTAGGTAATTGAAATGCCTGCTCAGTTAAACCCTTAGATAAGAGGAGGCGTGGCCACTGAAATAATACTATTTTTCTGGGCCCTGCAGGCTTCAGTTTGAACTGAAAATAAGGTCTCACCCTTTGATCAACCACTTGCCATACCACTTAACCTCTACCCCATACCCCTGCCTCTTATCCTTCATCCCCTCACCCCTTACCCTTATCCCTTTTCCCTTACTTTTACCCCTATTTCCTTATCACTTTTCTCTCACTGTCTAACCCCTCACCCCTGACCCCATATCCCTTATTCTATATCTTCCATACCTTTACCCTTTATTCTTTACCCTTATCCTAACCTATCCTTCCTCACCCCTTATTCCTTATCTCTCTTCCCTCACCCCTCTTCTTTTACCCTTATCCCCATCCCTTCACCTCTTAACCGTTATCACTTATCACTTATCCCTCACCCCTACCCCTCACACCTAATCCCTTATCCCTAATACCTCTACCCTTTACTCTTTACACTTTACTCCCTCACCCTTCACCCCTTATCCTTACCCTAATTCCTCACCCCTACCCCTCACAACTAGGCTTAGCCACAAGTTGCCGATGAATCTCAAAAAAGTTGCTGATAAAAGTGTCTAAAAGTTGCCGAAAAGTTGCCAAAATTTTTCTGCTTTTCGTACCTTTTTTGGGTGTTAAGGATTAAAAATTCGCACATTGCTTCTTATCAAAGCTTTATTTGTCAAAGTCCAATGATAATATCAGAGGTTCTTTCCATTTCACTTGATCAACAAATTAATAGTCTATCAGAATGACATGAACAAAACATGGTAATTGTCCGCCATCTTGAAAAACGTGCAACGTGATACCGCTGACCTTGTGATAAGGCATCACAAAAATCAACCCATGGGGGGGGGGGGCCTTAGGCCCTAATTATTGTATTTTAGAATAAATTGAATAAATGTCTATCGAAAACTGACCAATGTGGCTCAAAACGTGAAGAAAGTGGCCTCAAAGAACCTCAAAAGTTGCCGAAAATTCTAAAAGTTGCCAAAATTTTAAAAAGTTGCCGAAAATCTCAAAAGTTGCCGAAAAGTTGCCGAGCAACATTACTTGTGGCTAAGTCTACTCACAACTTACCCCTTATTCCTTACCCCCTCTCCCCTCACCCCTTATCCTTTATCCTTCCCCCCACCCCCTACCCCTCAAAACTTACCCGTTATTCCTTATCCCTCTTCCCTTATCCGTTATCCTTTACCCTTATCTCTCACCCATACTCCTCATCCCTAACTAATTTAGAAGTAAGTCTTGATGTTGGCTTAGGGGAGGGTTAGGTGGGTATTTTCCCAGAAACATATAATAATCCAGAAAATCTGCTGGTCGCTAACTACTAGACAGGACTTTTTTTCAAGCCCTGAGACTTGCCATGACAGAGTGATCATAATTTATACAAGTCTTACATAAACCTCACTGTTCATCAACTCTCACCTCATACCCTCTTCTGTGACAGATTTATATCTTTAGATAATTGAAATGCCTGCTCATTTAAACCCTTGGATACCCCTTATCCTTCATCCTTATCCCCTACCCCCTACCCCTCACAACTTATCACTTATTCATTACCCCTCTCCCCTCATTCAACCTTATCCTTATATTCATTACCCCCTCCCAACTTATCCCTTTATTCCTTATCCTTTCATCCCTTGTCCTTTATCCCCTTCCCCCCCCCTACCCCACACTTATTCATTCATTACCCCTCTCCCCTCATTCCTTATCCTTTACCCTTATCCCCCACCCCCTACCCCCCACAACTTACCCTTTATTCCTGATCTCTCTCCCCTCATCCCTTGTCCTTTATCCTTTTCCCCACCCCCTACCCCTCACAACTTACCCCTTATTCATTACCCCTCTCCCCTCATTCCTTATCCCCTTATTCATTACCCCTCTCCCCTCATTCCTTATGCTTTACCCTTATCCCTCACCCCCTACCCCCCACAACTTACCCCTTATTCCTTATCCCCCTCCCGTCATCCCTTGTCCTTTATCGTTTTCCCCACCCCTTACCCCTCATCCCTTGTCCTTTATCCCCCCCACCCCCTACCCCTATTCATTACCCCCTTATCCTTTCATCCCTCTCCCCTCATTCTTTTATTCCCTTATCTTATCCCTCTCCCTTGTCCCCCCCCCACCCCTCACCCCCCTTATTCCTTATCCCCCTCCCTTATCCTTTACCATCCCTTGTCCTTTATTCCTGATTTTCCCCACCCCTTGTCCTTTATCCTTTTCCCCACCCCCTACCCCTCACAACCCCTTATTCCTTCATTCCTTATGCTTTACCCTTATCCCCCCCCCTACCCCCACAACTTACCCCTCATCCCTTATCCTTTACCCTTATCTCTCACCCATACTCCTCATCCCTTACCCCTTATCACTTATCCCTCACTCCTTACTTCTTACCTCTTCCCCTTATCCTCCCATACTACCTCACCCCCCTTATGCCTTACCTCCTACCCCTCATCCCTTACTCCTCACACCCTTAATAGAAGTTTTCTTTTCCCTCTTTAGCAAGCAGTTTCAGGATCATATTTATGAAAGTATTATTGATGGTGACGATGACAATGATGATGCCAGCAATCGCCTGAATGATGCAGTAAGCAATCGTCACTGAAATATATTGTACAGGTTGATTAATTGAGTTGGACACATGCATTAGCCACTGCTGTGGGAGACACTGTACCTATATCCAGTAGAAACTCTTAAGAAAGAAAGTAAGAAAGAAGAAATTTTGCCACCAGAAGTATTTAAGTAGAGTACAGGGGGAATTGTTTGCTAAAATATACGCCATAGTGGTTTGCAAGAACCTTAGCATAAAAATCACCATAAAAGGTTCAACATAAAATCTGCATTTGAAGCAGAAGGAAGCCGGGGAGAGCTGCTGAAAATGCAGGAAGGCTTCTGTGGAACTGTTTTGAGGAGCAACTGCTGAAAAGCTTACTTTCTATTTTAACCTTGCCTAAATTTCATTTTAGCCTCATGAAAAGTTGTCAAAGTGGAATTTAAAAAGTATTACTTGTAGTATTTTGTATTCATTGTAGTTATGTGGATATGTATCAATAGCATTTTATTATTTTCTTTAGGAGTATCAAAAAATCCTTTCACAGTATGATAAAAATGGAGATGGCGAGTTATCATCCAAGGAAATGGAGCAGTATTTTCGTGACGCTATGGTAAAAAAAAATATTTTAAAAACTTTAAGCTTTGATTATTACTGGCTATCTTGTTTATTTTTTTATGTGTGTTGTTATTGTTGTATGACGTTAGGCCTCTGTACGAGGTGAGGATAGTGGAAATAAAGCACAAGACAAAAAAGCTGCAGCTAAAAAAGGAAGTGCCAAGCAGAAAAATCAGAAGGCAAGCCATCGAGCAAGTGCTGTTCAGTGGAGCTTGAAACAACTTGCTGGGGGAGTGTTGGGAGTACTTGGTTTCATTGCATTGTGTGCTGCATATATAAGAAGAAGTGGTGCAGCTGGAGGTAATCATCAGTTTAATAATTAATGAATTATTACTTAGCCTGTGAACACAGATGTCTCTCCTTGCTTCTTGCTATAGGGATGTTTCATGGAAGAGACATCTGCAATTCAGCCCTAAAAATTCCATACTGATGACATGAGTCAATGTACATAATTTATCTGGTATACTAAAATTTTTGAAGTCAGTGAAGAAAAAAGTGAAGTCGTGCTGCATCAAAATTTATCGCGCTTATTCCGTCTCTTTCAAATGAAATCTGATGGTGTTACATTCAAATGAAACCTCTTCCGCAGCCGCAGTGCCTTCTTAAAATGTATGCATTTTACCACATGATTGATGTATAGTGTTAACTAGGCTTTACTCTCAAGTGGTCTCGCACTATTGTTGATAGTTCAGTACTTTTTCAATCTGTTGTCAAATTTATGCCTTCTATTCTATGTATGTTTATACACATGTAGATGCAAATGTGGATGTACAAGATGTCCGTGCTGCACGCCTGCGAAAACTGGGCTCTCAAAAACCTGACGCATGTGCGGAAAGTTCTTTAGTGTCATCCAGAACTGAATCTTCTCAAGGCGTGTCTGAAAACAAGCAAACTGTTAGGAAGAGGTTAGATGTCAAGACAACAGATACTAAGAACAATGCAGATGATAAGGCATCATCTGGAAACAATAAAAAACTGAACAAGCCAAGATTATTAAATACAAGTATTGATAAAAAGGGGAAGGATTATCAGCAAGCTCAGGCTATAACTAAAGAGAGATCACCTGGTAGTGTTATACCAGCCACAGCCATAAGGGCTGCTTCTACAGAACAGCGTCCAGTTTCCATGGTAACCCCAGTTACTGGTACACTTATTTCTGACCAAAGGGAATTAGTGGACGACATACATATAAGAATAGCGGATGTGCCAGAAGAAGATGTAGTGTTGAAGCATCCACCAGGTGTGATAAATTCTTTTGAAAATTTATAATAATTCACTTACTGCAACTCGTTACTCAAAGAATAATGTTCTTTGGTCTGTTTTTACTTCAAGACATTTGCACTTAACTTTGTTCTGATTTGCTTTGCTGTGTTTGTTTCTTTTTTCATCTTTCTTGTAGTACTCAAGCAAGAAAGAATACAGGTTAGAATTTTATTGAGGAATAATTTTTGAGTGGGTTGTTAGATTCAACTATAAAAGATGAAAAGATTTTTTAGTCCCAATGAGTCCCAAGCAGAGGAGTCTCTAGAGAGAAAAGCACCAAAAAGCACCAAACAGAGGGGTCCCATGACAAAGAAGAAATAATAAGTTCTTGCAGAGGTGATCTTGAGATGCTGGCCTTTAAGAGAACTATAAGTTTAAGAGTTCAGCTCTGGAATGAGGTTGTTAGACATCCTTAGAGAAAATTTCCTAGAAAAGAGGTTCTTAGACTTTCTCAGAATGGTCTGGGGTCAATAAGAGGTCATAGAAGTGGTTAAAAAAACATAATTAGAATACATGATCATTGGAGTAAACAACCATCAAAGCAGAGGTTCTTGAGCCCATAGATCAGTGATCCTTCCTCAAGAGAAGGGGTTCTTCAATCTTAATTAACTGCAGGGAAACGAGATTTACTGCTAATTTAGAGAAGAGTTGCTAGTACATGTATGGTCAAAGGCAGATCTTATGTCCTTGGAGGATACAATTGTAGTCATTTAAGTCTGAGGTTTACCAGGAGAGAGATTCTTACACTAGATAAACGATTGAAGAAGCAATTAAGGGTCGACCGGCTGAAACAAAGTAGGTAGTGGTGAAAGTGAGTACTGCTTAAGGAAATGGGTGAGATGAGTAGAGTACACGATCCTCCCCTCCCCTCCCCTCTGCTAAAATACTTGTTTACCTAGAGACTTGCGTTGGCTTGTTTCTAGGATCTCCCTTATGAAGACGTGGTAAAGAAGGTGCTTAATCAAGTTTTGGAATGCTCACTGGTGAGTACATTAGATTGTAAATGGACATTTTCAACAAACAAGAAAAAAAGCTATTTTCTCACAATCGTGGACCCCCCTGCTGTTCCAAAGCAACTCTGTGTTTGTCACCTCATAGTTCAGGTCACTGTTGCGCAGTTGCAATAAAAGCCGTAAGTGTGAAATCTGACATCTACTAATAGTGAGTTGGTTGTTTGTACTAGGAAATTCAGGTTGCTGCAAAGCAAGAAGTTCTTCCATTGATCAGGGTATGGAATAATCTAGTTAACACAGATATTTGTTTTTGAGGGGCAGCTGTATTTTCTTCTCCAACTCGTTAGTTACTATTTAAAAGTCAAAGTGGATCTTGCCAGCAAAAACAGCGTCCTCTCATTGGTTCCTGCAACTGAAGGGTTGTGCCGTGAAACATCTTCAGTGGCTTTGCAGCCCAAAACTTCTCAAAATTTTTCCAAGATTCTGGGATCTTAACAATTATTTTAGAGTCCATTCCCAAGACTCTAACTTTGAGACAAGCTATAATATACATGGATTTTGTTTGCTTGACTGATCTCTCAAGAAACAATGGGACAAATGGACCATACTCACTCACTTTCCATTCAAGGAAATTTTTGAAGCTTTGTGCGGTGTCAACCTACAATGTTATACTTGTAAGGACAAGGTTGATACTGCCGACTCATTATATTATTTTGGACAGTACTGTATATGTGTTCCTTATAAGCACTAATCGTGTTATCCTAAAACCTACTATTTCCTAGGCTGGATCAGATAATGGGCAAACAGTTCTACGAATTGAAGCATCTGAGATTCCTGTAAGCAGTGATGAGTTAAGCAAGGTATAGTTGGAAAATATTTAATAGCTGGAACTATAAACTAAGTTGAAATGGTTATTTTCCTTTTAGTCTGAAAAGTGATGCAATAACGTTTATTTCTATTTTATTAATTTATAAGTTATTATTTTCTTTTTCCAGAAACTGGAAAAACTTCTTGCTAAAAGGATATATAAAGAAGTTGTAAGTTGTGTTTGTGTGTCTTGTTAATAATCGCCCCTATGGTATGTGAGATGTAAAAAAGCCAAGAGAAACCCTTCTTTTAATCATTGCAGTTTATTGTTTCATTCTAGGATCCGATGAAGTTTGCAATTCAGTGCTTTGATCGGTGTTCGCAACTGCCTGGAAAGAATTTTAAAACAATTCGAGATGGAGGAAAGATTTGGAAAGAAGTGACGTCAGTTATTATGGAACCATGTGTAACAACGGTTTTGAAACATCTTGTACATGGTAAGTACTTTTCTTGGCCCAGTCAAAAGCATAATATATCCTAATTGCGGGCGACAGGAGGAGCCCGCAATCCTAATCTTCAGGTTGCTTTTACGCATTTACGACACGTATGTAGCCAGCTTCATTAGGACGTCAACTAAGATTGAATGGAATGGATTGCACAGAAACCACAGTGATGAAGCAAAAGCGTTTTGACCTTCGATCGTTGTCGCCCGTACTCCCTTAACCTTTGGTTATTACTAGTTTCCAGGTTGCAATTGCGCATACACGGTACGTAGTGTAACCAGCAGTGGTTTAGATGTCCACTAAGAATGAATGGACTGCATAGTATGTTGCCAACTCTTGGATACCTATTAGACGTGGTATACTTAAACAACGGAGATATAGAGGGTCGGTTATTTGAAAGAAGTCTAACCAAGGCCGAGGTCCTAATTAATCTTTGGATCTCCAGATCTCTCCGTAAGTGGTTTTTGTAAGACGATAAGTACCTTTCTAGTCTACGCTTTATATGCTTTCATTAAACTGTTCAAATAAACGGTGTTTAGGGAAACGTTTTGTGGGGCTTCTTGGGCAAAATGAAAATGTTTTAGAACGCGGTTTTGTCAAGCATTGGCTAAACACGGTTTAAATAACCGCCCCGAAGAATATACTTTCTTATTAATGGTTTCTAGAAAGGTATCTACTCACTTTCGGCACATTTGCGGGAAAATTACGTGCCTGATAATACATAGCATCCCTCGCAGCTGTTTTTGTCTCGTCACGCAACGCTCTTTCCCAAGAAGAGGAGAGAAGCGTTGCGTGACGAGACAAAAGGGACTGCGAGAGAGACTTATCTTGGACAGAATAGAATGGAACAGCAAACCCCTATCCTCCCAAATCAAGGATGAAGCCACGCAGAAGCCAAAACGCGCTATTTTTCCATCCTTGATTTTCGGGGGAAGGGGCGGGGGTATAAATTTCCATCTATTAAATTGTCTAAGATTGTAGATAATACGTGTCCCGTTTTTTCTTTTGGCAGCCGCAGCAAGTCCTACATCAGTCGAGGAAGACTTGTGGTCTGATTTTGTTCATTCTGGGCAAGCTGAAGTATGCACAATATTTTAAACATAATTATTTTTTCTTTTATAAAGCTACTTCCATTGAAGTACTTGCTATTTTCAGATTTTTTTAAAAGATGCAAGAAAATAAGATGACTTGCCTCTACGTTAAGGGTCAAACGTTACATTATGTTATTACATCTGCCGAGAAAATGCTGTCACGTGTCTGTTTGATAGTGCAACACTATCTAATACCATACACCAGACTATGTTTAATGTACTGACTTAAAGTTCGTTTTTGTCGCATCGCAATAGGCTTTTCCCGAGTTGCACAAGCCTCTGTTTTTTAGCGAGGCTAAGTGCGAAACTATTGATGTGAAAATGATTTTCTATTCTCATACAAATAAAACTCATTTTCACAAGAAAGGTTTTGCACTTAGTCAGCCTTAATTTTGAAAGTGGGAGTTTTTGTAACTCGGAAATGGCCTGTCAAGCAGACCTCTCACAATTTTGTCGTTTGTCTCGCGAATTCTTCACTCATCGAAGTCAACTGGGAGGAAAAGTCTACATGTCGAGCTTAGCATTCTTGGCGAGAAGCGAAAAAACCCGTTTCTTTTGTCAGACGTCTTAGTTTAAAATACTTTTGTACGTGACCTTTCTTGCGACCTCTGGTGCGCTTCTCAGTAAAAATGAGTGATTTCTTCTTTAGACCACGCTTAACTGCGATGTTTGTACCATATCTTCTCGCGACAAAATGCACCAAGATTCTTGAAGTAAACTGTCAACTTGTCCTGACGTTTTTGCATTTGTTTGGATTGGAAGATGCACCTGGAATGAGTTCATGGTCCTGAAGCCACTAACTCGACTACGTAGCCAGATAGCCAACTGTTTGGGAGCACAAAGTTAAAGATATTCATTTTTGTCTATACTAACCAAGATCTTTTCGTGTTTCAATGCCAGGCACCTTCTCTGTACTTTCTTGGTAGCCTTGGAGGCTGGTCATGTGACGGCGTGACAGTTAACGGCGAACTTCTTTCAAGACTTTTGGAGAAAGCAAAGCAAGATTCAGAAGTGAAAGATACCTTTGTTGAAATGGTATGTCTATCCACAGATCGAGGGAAGGCGCGCCAGAGACCTGGTGACTGAGGAATTGTTCTTAACTGTGTTACGAATTTCTTCTCATTGGAAGTATACTCTTGCCCGAACAGTATTACTTTGCAAATGGCTATAACAAGTTCGTAATTTCCGCTTTAAAACACTAAGCGCTTCTGAAAGTACATTCCAAAAAAGGTTTAGAAAATCAGTGACTCATTTACATAGTATTTGACATAAAACACTGAAAATGTAAACGGTAGCTTTGAAGTTGCTTGCCTTAGTTTTTGCAAATTTCCCTGGTTTCTAGTCGTTGTGCATTTCTTTTATTTGTGGCACATTCCAGATATAATGAATGTTGCTGACATTTTTGTTCAGTACCCAAATTAAAATGTACCATCGTTGTTCTTTTATTTTCCTTAATCGAGATGATGTTTTATTTTGTTCAAGGTAACTGTCGGAGGAAGAAAAATTGCTCAGTATAAGAGGTTTGTAACTTAAATTTTAGTGTCCCCTTCGATTTCCTCTTCCCTCCCTCGCAGTGGTGAGCAAGCTCTTTATTTGGGGGTTGAAATGCTGTTTTAGGTACACTTTGCAAGTCTGCAAATACGATTTTTTTTTATTAAGGACATATATCCGATCATGTCACTGTTTCAGTCGGACAAACCAGAAAAGCTGTGGGACATTCATTGTGTCGACTTAAGATTTTTTTAAAACTACTGTGCAAATCTGCGCTACTAAATGATAGTCTTTGGTACCGTAAATCCTCTATTAAGCCCCCTTTCAAATAAGCCCCCCCCCCTGGCCCTTCCTTTTCAGGGAAGAAAGTTAATAAGCCCCTCTTTCCTCCCTGATCCAGGATGGTTGTTTATTCACCAGGTGGAAGATGTTTTTGATTCCCGGCTGCATGACCTCCAGCTTCTTGTACTTGAGCTTTTCCACTTTGCATTCTAGTTCTTTATGGATAACTGATGCCATCATCTTTAGTAAATTAAAAAGCCCCCCTCTCAAATAAGCCTCCTGTCTCTGTTAAGCCCCCCCCCACCCCTCAAATGTGTTTGAAATAAGTAAGCCTCCCTCCCGCAGGTAGGTTTTTTTTCGTATATGCGAAATTGTAGTCGGACATTGTCAGATGACCAAGTCTTATTTGAAGCCCTGCTTTGCTCCAATTTCGTCTTAACTGTGCGTGCTGTTTATTGATGTCATTGTGTGTTTCAAATCTCTTTTATCATCTCCAAAAATAGGATCAACGAGATAACATTAGAGAGCAAAAGTGTTTTTAGAGGACTGGAAATTCTTCTTTCGCAGGTAGCGTACACAGCCGGACTAAACTGTTTACTTTCCGTTTTTGTTTATCAAGAAATATCCTGTCTTAAATGAGAGATAGAGTGTTCATGTTTTAGATCGCATTATTATGTTATGTACATGTGTACTAAACACGAAGTTTAGCAACCTTTTTTCTCTTATATTTTAGCCTACCATGACGGAGTTTCTTGCAGAAGCCCTTGAAAAAGAACTGGATTATGGCGTTAAAGAACTGGTAATTATTTTACCCCTGATTAATTATTTCACTTCTGATAAAGTTTGCATTGTCGTTATTGAAACCTTGAGTTAAAAATAGCTTTCCTTGTCTTCTGTCTTTGCAGGGTATTTTCTTTCAAGAGAAGTCACTGTTTTCATCATTTCTGAAAATTTCTACACTCGATGTTAAAGTAGACAAGTCTCGTGTGGCTTCATGCTTCTTTGAGCTGCCTCACTTTCCCCAGGCTTTCCGCAGCGATGTTGATCAACTTCAGGTACTGTCTTGTATGTTTCTTTAGTGAAGAAAGTTTGTCTTTCTGCTAAGGTTTTTCTTTCAGGAACAAAATATTAACGCACCGTTACGAAGGGACGTAACGAACGCACTTTTACCTTTGCGTCTTGAAATACTAGGGGTGCCCTAGTGATGGGTTAATGTCCCATCGAGGGGAGGGGAGAGGGGCTTCGAAGCAGTATTCTGTGTGGCTTCACTCTAGAGGAAGTAGTTTCAGGAGGTGGGTGACCTGTGACTCGTTAAGACTCTCTTTCCCATTGTCCACTGGCCATCCACACAGACGTTCGTTTGGCTCGTCACGCAATCCTGCCTAACGAACGCTTTTGAGAAGGAAAGCGTGACAAAGCCCTAAGAACGTTTGTGTGGGAGGCTTATTGTCCACTTGATGCATAACAATTTTGTCAGCAACTGACAGCTTTTGCCTTTGTTTGTACAGTCGCAGATCATGGACGGCATTCATTCCTGTCAGAATGTTGTTTACAAGGCGCTTGTGAAACTACTGAAATCTAACATCAAGGACAGGTCAGACAGACATTGTTACCAAGCAGATGGCCTGCGCGGCAGGCGTTCGAAAGGATAATAAGGGGGAAGGAGATTCCCGCGCAAGAAGCGCAAAATGCTCGCGAGGCTCCCTTCTTTCGTGCGTGGTCTCGCGCCTAAATTTTCTTCCCCCTTCCTTTCGAACTCAATCCAGGCTACCATGCAGAAACCGTATCTCTTAGCTTAGAAACTTGTTCTCTGTCTTATGCTCTTAGAAGGTCAAGTCTTGGGTTCCTTCCCCCCCCCCTGGAAACCCAATAACGTCTTGAGATTTGTGATGTTTTAGTGTAATCCCTGAGGTCAAAATCTACTTCTAAATACACGATCCCAGTATTTCAAACTTAGCAACTCCTTAAGTGACCTGTTGCATTGCAAAGTTAAATTTTCACACTTAAACTGAGCAGACAGAGGACTCACGTTTATACGGCAAGTCAAAATTTTTTCTGCTGGGAGGAAAATATTGTGGGGATGGTGGACAACTGGAACAGAGCATTTAAAACATTTTGAGGTTGAAAACGTCAACATAGGACTGTGGCAACGATAAGCAATTAGGAATAATGTGATTACCTTTTCATTTACATGCTGTTGAATGAATTATTTCAAGCAAACTTCCTGCCTGACTGCCAAGCTTTCTTTTTCATGTTTAGTGCGTTAGCATGGCTGGCTGGTGTTGTGTCACTTAATGATTTGAGGCTGTCACCAAATTTGCCACGAGATAATTTCAAGACAGCAGTTGCAAGCGATGGTAAGATTCAAAGTTGTTTTGAACAGTCGGCACAGGCTTACTGTCCTTTAGAAATTGTTGCCCTGTGCATTTTTGATGGTCATTAAGTGAGTCATAAGTTAAATGATTGATTTGCAAAACAGTCGGCTTCTTTCTTGTGAAAATTCAGTGTTAGTCGTAAGGCGCGCAAGAAATCTCACGTGGACGTAGGGCATCCCCTTGCCCTTTGTTTGACAAGTGCTTGTGTTCTCAGTTGACCAATGCAAAAATACGACTATAGTTGATATGTAATTTTGATGACTATTTCTTAGTTGTAGTTATTTTTTGAACAGCATACTAGACTGACAATTTGAGATTTTTAAAATTAGTCTTTTTAATCCCCAGCCTTCATGTTGGAGGTCACTTTCCCAGGTCCCTTGTGGGTGTTTTTTTTTTTTTCGATATCTGCTTTGTCCGTGATCTGGGAGAGCTGATTGCCGTATGTTTTGTTTTACACCCGGGTCCAGTTGCTCAAAAAGTCGATAAAGTTATCCACTGGATAAGGTAATTGGTTTCCCCAATACTTATCCGCTTCATAGTGATTTATCAGGTGGATTGCGCGATCCAGCTTTCAAACAACCGAGACCAGGCATCTTATCTGTGTCTTGATTCCATTGCAGGCTTTATGATGAACCTATGCACAGTCGCTCTACAGCTTTGTGATTCATTCCTACTTTCCAAAGGAAAAGTAAAGTATAAACAGATAGAACCGTATTACTGTACCTCTAGAAGCTGCCGTCTGAGATTTGACAACGAACGTACGCTGGCAGGTGGACATATTGGTTAGTAAAAAAATGTTTTTTTGTTGTTGACGCTCATTGTTATATTTACGTGATTTTGTTTCCATAAAACACTGAAAACTGTGATTTACTGTTTGATGTGTTTTATTCCACACCCCCTCCCCCCCTTAGACTCGTTTCCAGGGTGTCTTCTCGATCTTGCTCACTTGAGGAGGGACCCTGGAAACGAGGTGTTACAACTCGCACTCTTCGAAAAGCCACCCCTATGAAACATAAGAAGAAAGGTTAGTGCGCGTTGTTCCGTGCGAGAGGTTCGGAGTTCCATTCCCAGGTGTGACTACAAGTCTGTCTTTCGACTTCTTTCCTTTCTGTGTAGCTTTATGTAGCTTTAAATACCCGTAAAACGGGGCTCTTAGGATGGCATCAGCTTTGTTAAGAGTTACCAAGGTAAACAAAGGACCTTTAACTGAACATTAAATTACTTTGCATGGAGGTGCCTAGATTTTCATGTTTATCTTGATTGACTTGCTCTTTTCTTAATTCAGGTACGGATACTGAGGAGAGAACGGATTTACACAGTATACTTTTCCCTTCTGAAGAACTGAAAGGTGTGTGTGGGTAGCCTAGAAACGACAAAATGGAGACATTCAGTATATTGAACTTTACCCAGCAGCGTGAATGTCTCGGCCCGCCCTTATTTTTTGGGTGGCTTAGACAGTAAAAGGTGAACCCTAACCTGTCAATCGCAAAGTTGGTCACCGAAAGACATTTTATACAAGAGGGAAACGTACCATATTTCATTGGCATCAGTAGGAAGTGTTTAGCAGTTTTAATTGTTTCATTTGCCCGTCCGCACTTTCGAATTTCAATCAAAGACTCGAAAATTAGAACCAACTTTTACAGCATAATAAACAGTACCACGGGAGAGTACTGCTTAGCAGTGTTTTATTTGAATGTTCAAACTTAAAGATTTCATCCAGGGACTGAAAAGTTAATTATTAGTAGAAACACCAGCATACAGTTCCACAGGAAATAATTGCTCAGTAGATTTTATTTGTATCGTCAAAGTCACAGACTCAGTGAAACGTTAGAACTCTGTACGAGGTGGTTCTAAACAGTACCACGGGAGAATATTGTTGAATAGCCTTCTCTTGAATGGTCAAACTGTACGATTTCGTCTACGGACTCCAAAGTCAGATTCATTTCCTACAGCGTCATTAACCCTTTAGCCCCAATAGTGATCAACATCAATTTTCTCCTAACGATATCCATATATTGTCAAGAGATAAGGTTATGAGAATTAATAACACGATCACCACAGATAAAATGCCTTGATCTATTATCAAATTCTCTCAACTCATTCTTTAAGAAAATGTATAGAAACCATTTTGGAGAATTTGTATGTGAATATTGGTGCTTAAAGGGTTAACAGTACAACAGGAAAGTACGGCTCATTATCTGTCATGAGATTAGTGCCAACTTGGGATTAGAATAGGCCATTTCCGAGTTCCCCCGGGCCTCTGTTTCAAAACGAGTGTAGGTGCTCAGCCTTTGATATGGAGATCATTTTTCATTCTCATTCAAATAAAACTCATTTTCATATTAAAGAAAGGTTGTGCACCTAGCCTCATTTTGAAAATGCGGGTTTTTGGAACTCGGATGTAGCGGTCTATTACATGGTAGAGTTGTAAGATTTTTTATTGTGACCGTTATATACTGCATTACTGTGGTGTTTAACAACTCCAATGTTTTTAGGTCAGTTTAAGCTGATGACAGAGATGTTCCACCTCACGCATAGTGCCCTGCATACCGGACTAACCAGCACCATTCAACATTATAACAAACTCTTGAGGTCAGATATCTTGGTTCTTATGTTTCGTATGAATGTCTCGGTCGATACGTCGGTTGATATTGTGGCATCGACCGATCTGTCGATACTCGACTGATACTCAGTCTATGTTTTTCGATCGATACTCGACAGATAAGCGATAGACAGATACGTTCACCGATGTATCGACTGAAGCAACGACCAACTCTCACGTAAGAAACATGATCCACTAAGACTTAGTTATCATCCGTCGATCCTGAATCCTGTCATGGACGCAACGAAAAAAGATCTGAGGCCCTAAGAGTACGACAATAAATTGCCTAGTCAAAAAAGAAAATTTAGACACAGATCTACCGGAGAGAAAGCACCTATTCCATAAAGGAAACAGAGACGGAATACAATAGCTCCTGGCTTATGGTTGATTATCTAAACAACGTAAGAAACCGTTTTCCTTTTTGTATTCTTCAGAAGTTACATGATGATGACAGAAGCGATGGAAGGTACTTCGGCGGAGACTGAAGGCCGGAGAAAATTTCTTGCTGTAAGTTTGGTTTCCAGTTTTAAGTTTGACTGCCTTAGTTGTCGTCTTTGTCTTTTCTTCTATCTGCAGTGTCCCGATCCCGACGACTGAATGCAAGTAGTGAATTTCGGAAATACATCGGTGTTTTCCGAACGAAGCCGAAAGCCATGCAATGGCCAGTATTTTCGCCCGGGTTCCTAGCTGTTGCGTAGGCTCACTTGGTTCCATTCCCTCGGCGACTGAGCTCAATTGCCTAATATAGCCGCTGCTTGAATAGAAAATTCTATTCTTTCGTTTTATTCGCAAGAGATACAGGGCGCCCTTTGGAACAAGAGTATTGGAAAACTTTTTTCGCGAAATGTAGGTGCTTTCAAGAAAGAAATGATGTTAAGTCATGTTAACCCAAATGATTTGTCCTCTTTAAGCTGTTCGTTCTCCAATGGGACACTTGTCTTCAAGACGCGCACTTTATGAGGCTTTGCTCAGAGTTTTACATCACAAGTGCTGCATGGCTTCTTCATCTCTTGGAAAACTGTGCCTCTGAGAATCAGGTAAAGGGAATCGTTAATGGGCTCACCATTTCTGTTTTCTATATCTTAGTACAGTGCATCTGTGAGTTGAGATGAAATACGCCTGCGGCAGTGTTCGTACCAGGATTTCTTACACTGGGGTCCACAGGACCCGTACAGAAGCTAAAGGGGGTTCATGAGGTAGAAAAACGGGTCACAATTTTTAGATACAGTTGACTCAACGTTTTTACAGGTCTGAGTATTAGATAATGATGTTTTTTTTTCTTGTAAAGACGCCGTAACCAATTAAATTTTGGCTTATATGTTAAGGAGATGTACGTATGTGTAAGTATGCTTACGTACGTTTTGTAATAGGTTTTTTTCCTTCTTTGCGTCCTTGGGACCCCTTGGACTAATTATAGTGCGGCACTTTCCGAAAAAGTGCGGCAATGCCGCAATGCCGCGGTCTGGTAAGAACCCTGCTGTGGCCGAGGTAGATAACACCCTCTGAGATCTGCATAATTCTTCATATTATACTCAGGCTCATTCAATATTCAGTTAAATATAAGACAGAATTTTTACACTTTTCTAAAATTCATAAAAACTATCCGGGAATGGTTTATTTTCCATAATCTCACACGTGAGTTTATCGATGAAAATTTCGGTAATTTCCTCCAAAATTTGTAGGCGTCTTGCGTCCTTTGAATTTTAACTTTTTCAAAGCTTTGCTTACATTGTACTATTCATATTTTCCCTGTTTTAAAGAGGTTTAACCCACCATTCTGTGAAATTGTTTATTTTATCGATGTCTTTTTTGTGATTTGGCCGAAGATGAAATTTATTTTCCGTGCTAAAACAATATTTTACTCACTCGCTGCGCTCGTTCGTAAAATTTTTTTGCCAAAATTCCTGAGTTTTATCCTCTATTTAAAGACATGTGTTCTTGGTTTAAGAGAAGTACGTGGAACTATACACAATATTTTCCCTGTTTTTAAGAGGTTTAACCCACCATTCTGTAAAATTGTTTTCAGTTTAAGATGAAATAAGCAGTTCCTGAGTTCTACGTTAAAGACATGTCTATTTTAGCTAAAGTCTTGAAGGTTTGATCGCATCCACTTTCATTCTCACAAGAAATCATTTACCACTTAAACATTTGAATCTGTGGATGAAATCCTATGGTGTAACGAAAATCAAATCAAATGAATCCTCTTTAGTAGAACTTTTTACATCGTTCTATTTATTTAGTTTGTAGTTCTAACTTTTAAGTCTGTGGATGAAATCCTATGGTGTTACCATTCAAATGAAACCTCGTCAGCAGTACTTTCACATGGTACTATTTATTTAGTATGTAGTTCTAACTTTTGAATCTGTGGATGAAATCCTATGGTGTTACCATTCAAATGAATCCTCTTCAGCAGTACTTTCACATGGTACTATTTATTTAGTATGTAGTTGTAACTTTTGAATCTGTGGATGAAATCCCGTGGTGTTACCATTCAAATGAAACCTCTTCAGTAGTGCTTTCACATGGTACTATTTATTCAGTATGTAGTTGTAACTTTTGAATCTGTGGATGAAGTGCTATGGTGTTACCATTCAAATGAAACCTCTTCAGCAGTATTTTCACATGGGACTATTTATTTAGTATGTAGTTCTAACTTTTAAGTCTGTGAATGAAATCCTATGGTGTTACCATTCAAATGAAACCTCTTCAGCAGTACTTTCACATGGTACTATTTATTTAGTATGTAGTTCTAACTTTTAAGTCTGTGGATAAAATCCTATGGTGTTACCATTCAAATGAATCCGCCTCAGCAGTACTTTCACATGGTACTATTTATTTAGTATGTAGTTCTAACTTTTAAGTCTGTGAATGAAATCCTATGGTGTTACCATTCAAATGAATCCGCCTCAGCAGTACTTTCACATAGTACTATTTATTTAGTATGTAGTTCTAACTTTTAAGTCTGTGAATGAAATCCTATGGTGTTACCATTCAAATGAAACCTCGTCAGCAGTACTTTCACATGGTACTATTTATTTAGTTTGTATATAGAAAACTATTTGAAGTAACTTCGCCTGATGTTGGGTACTTCTCGTTGTCGCTTGTCAAACCTGTGTTAAACGGTCATCCCGTATTATGCGGTCAGGCTGGCTTTTGCCCAAACGTGTAAGCTTTCGTTACCCCTGACCCTAACTCACGCACCGTCACTGGTGTTCTGTTGTGTTACAGATCTGTTGTTTCGTGGATTGTTGTGCGACACTCATTGAGCGCCGAGATCTGATGCCTGGTCCTGTTGCCGCTTCGAGAATTGTAACAGGGCTGCTGTCATTCGCTGAAATTTGCTCCCGAAATAAGAGGTACTTTTGCTTATTAGAAAATATTAGTGACAGGGAATGCGGCCCATTAGAGTATACAAACAAGCAAGCAAGGCATAACAGAGAACGAAGAAGGAAGTAAAGTGCAGAAAGTCAAGGATGAAACTTAGCAGTTCTTCAAAGTAGATACCGTAAAATTCCCAAAATAAGCCCCTCCAAATATAAGCCCCCCCAAAAAACCCTCCGTTAAATCGCCCCTCCGAATATAAGCCCCCCGGAGGGCTTGTACTGGAAATTTGCCCTCGAATACAAAGCAACAAAAAGCAAAAATGGTAAATTTCCTTCCCACAACAAACTAGCCCAATCTCAAATTTCCCTCTGCACATAAGCTCCTCCGAATATAGGCCCCTCGAAAAATAAGCCCCTCAAAAAGGGCCTTTGAAAATTATAAGCCCGGGGCTTATTTTCGGAATTTTAAGGTATTGTGACACTGTCTTCTTGAGACACTGTCCTCCGATGAGCTAACCTCAGTGAAAAAAAACAATCCACCCCCCCTCTCCTCCATTCAGAGTTGGGGTGTGTGTTGTTTCCTACAGGTACAGTGGTACAACATTGCATGGAGGGGGTGGGGAGGGAAAACTTCATTTTCCCCTTTTTAAGTGAGAAAAAGTCAGAAAGGCCCTGTAGGTCAAAGTGTCTCAACTAATTTTGTCGCTGATTGGAGCTTCTGGTCTTACTCAGAAAACAGTGCAATATAATTATCAGCTTGCTGGACAGTAACCATATCGCCGCGATTTTCATATCAGCCCCATCTTCGTCCTTTCCGTGTTTTTGCGTTCTAAAATTTTGACCGCAGTAGAAAACCCTTGTAAGGGAGTGTCGATATATTTCGTATAGTATTGGTTCCATTTCTTGAGTCTGCCTTGGGCAGTAAATCGTCAGCTGATCATTGTCGGACCCATCATAGTGTTGTGGTTAGAGCACTGACCTTAAAAACCTGTTGTCGCGGTTTCAAGTTCCGCTGCACTGAGCCATTAGCTCGAGTTGTTTAAAGGGACCTGGGTTGGTAAATAACCAGACATGATACATTCATGAGATAGTTATGCGCGTTTCGGAACTAGGGATTTGCGCGGCACCATGGCTTTCGTACAGTTTGCCTCAGGGTTGCAAATGACTCTGGGTCGGTGCTGTTTGTTCTGTGTCAATGTATTACGTGGTTGTTATCGCTGTTGTTGTTGTTTTTTTTTTTGGGGGGGGGGAGGGAGCTGGACACCATTTCTTTGTCTTTTGGCCATTTGGAGATTGTGCGGGGAACTGGGTCAAATTTCCGGGCCCCCCCCGAAACGACCCATAAACTTCACCCGGCCTGACACGTAACCTCCCGGCCTGACACGTAACCTCACGACTGTACGGGCAGGCTGGGCTAGATGAAAACAGCGTGTACCTTTTTGTATCTCCCTAGAACGAAAAATACTGGAAACGTATCTCAACTTACCTGCTTTTTTTTTGTTTTGTTTCAGAAAAAACAAGTTGTTGGACACGACATCTTGGGGAAGGTATGGAATCCGACATTATTATTCTTATGTGGCTCAGTATGTTTGGTTACTTTCAATTTACCAAATGAAACTTCATTGTTATTTTCATCTTACAGTGGCATTGAAGGTGATCTGGTAGCTTGCGTTGCCATGTGTTCAGCGGTGAGAGAGAAACTCTGTCCAGCTCTCCTTCATACCTATTGCGCGGTTGACATCGTGGAGGGCCTGGACGTGGACAAAGAAGAGTTTGACAAATTTTCAGCTAGGTATGAACACTCTGTTTTCAAGTCACGTTATAAGAAGGAGAACGCCAATGGCTGTTTCTGCTAACTTGTCTCTATATACCCCGTCTCGTTTAACTGACTGTACAGAACAAGTAGCCTGCATAACAAGCGCTTTTGGGCGCTCATGACGCGCGAGAAAGGGGAGGGGAAGGTCTCCTCTCGCCTGTCTAGCGCCTCGCGCTGCCGCTTTCAAACCCGCCTTTTACGCAGCCTACTGAATGAACGAACTTGGCTTCGAGACGATGAAGTGATTTTCACGGATGATAAACCCGGATGTTTAAATTGGATGTTGTAGTTACCACTTATTTAGTACGAACACCACCAAGTCTAAACAGACCTCAGCTAAGCTATTTTTGTCTGTGTCAGATTTGAGATTGTCAAGTTGTTGGAAATTCTGTGGAAACGGCCTGATATTGCACCTTCAATTCTGAAAGAATGCGGAAGAGAATCCTTTCAGGTATAATGTTCTTCTGGTATTTTTGTCTGTTGACGGTACCCTCCGTAGGTTTTGTCTAATTTGTGTGAGACCTCTCGCCTGGGGCTATGCCATGCTGATGAGTCCTGATGAGGACGAAACAGCTGTCCATGGCTGCCAACACCGGGGTGATATGGTTGTGCGCATGCGTAAGGTACTGGCCATACCGCGGAGTTGGTACGTGTGCTACAGTGCTTAAATAGGTTTTGTTTAATTTTCCATGTAAGAACGTTCTGACTCGTCCTCAGTTGCCTCTTTTTGTCTTCTTATCAATACAGTAAAAACCTGCGAGTAACAACCAGTTTGGCTAAAATTTGCCAGTTAGGCCCCCTCTATACAAGAACCTGTTGTGCCCAAAATTTGAAAATGGTTCTTATTTTATAAAATTTATTTTAAAAAATTCTGCACACTTGGGCAAGTAAGATGAGTCAACATTCAGGAACCTCTGGAGACATAGGTGCCTTATCACTCCAACTACAATGTACTGGATGCAGGTTTTATATAAGGAATAAGCCCAAGACCACTAACTAAGTAGTCTTAGCTACATTGTATTTTTCCTTCAGAGAATAAGAACCCATTTAAGAACCTAAATAGCGTAAATTTGTGCGACTTACCATTTATTTATGTTTGAGTAAAACTAAGACAAACCTTTTTATTAATATATGTTAGAGATTGGTTCCAAGATTTTGAGATTTTATTTAAGTTATATTTTTATTTTTTAAGGCGATTTTCAATTTTTTATTAATGTTGTGGACTCTTAGGAATAGGCGCTATACAAATAAATTGTTATCAGTGTTATTATGTGAGAACTTGTTTAGGCTAACTTGGGAGAATGCAGGTTCTTACTCGCTTGTTTTTGCTGTATAAACGAGCGAAGCGCGTGTAAGGTATGCGCGCGCGGGGGGAAATGGGAGTGGATCCCTCTCTCCTTCCCGTCGTCCCCTTCTCCGAGATGTCGAAGCAGTCTCCCGCGACCGTTCCGTGACCGCTTATAAATGATAAGAGAAGACTTGGGAAGAGTCAGATGTTTGACGTAATCAAGTGGTAACGTCGATCGGTGTGGACCAAAAATTGAAGTATAGATATTTTAGAACTTTGAAGAAGAAGAAGAAAAAAAAGGACATGGCTAGCGTTTTGCACCCTCCTATACTAAGACGGTAATCTTTGAAATTTTTTTGTACTGACTGGAGTTTGTTTATGTATTTAAGTCTTTCCTAGGAGCCGTACTGGACACGCTTCTATACGTGTTAAAAGATGGTTTGCTACGGCTTACGAACGTCAGAAAACTGCAGTGTGCCAAAAAGTGTGGTACGTATTTTATGGCTCTTGCTGTTTTGTTTTCTTGTTTATGGGGGAGATTAACCAGATTACTAGGAAGACAGACCTTCAATTGTGTACAAATTGTGTACAGTATTATAGTACCGGCAAACATACTATCAAATCACAAGACAGACACACACTTAGAACATAAGACAGGCTTGAAGGACAAACCAGCGAGCAGATAAACTGTCAGTCTTATTGTTGCCCACCTAGAATAGCTCCGCTAATTGTGGGTAGCATAGACCTAACTCATTTGACAATTCAATAAACTGTTGTTGTTGTTGATGTTAACGCTGATGCAACCATGCAAGCAATAATGACGATATACACTTTTTTCGATAGATGAGAAGTGGAAAGAGTTAAGCGTAGAAGAACGTCAGGAAAAGGAGCAGTTTTTAAGGAGCGAGGAACACGTGTCAAAGTCTTTCATGGAAATGGTGGGTTTGTATGTACGTTACACTGTAAGGCAGTAAAAGCATCTGTACATGCGTTACACTGATCAATCATGGGACACGTTTCTCTTAAAAGATATTTTCACTCCTAAGAGAACACTTATTTGTCTAATCACATTTGATGAAAACGATTTAGTTATTGACTGTTCTCTGAGCTGGTAAAATAAAGTCCATGTGGTTCTTAAATTTTTCTCTAACCAGAGCCTTGACTGAACCTAGATTGCTTCCCTGGGTCTGGCTCCCGTAGTTGGGTACCCTGTGACCGGTTCGCTCCTTACGTTTCTACTTATCTGATTTCAAAGTACTTTGAATAATTAATTTCCAGGAAATCACAGTAGCTTATAGTTACATTGCACTAATTTTTGTTATTTTTAGGCTAATGCAACTTTGGCGTTTCTGGAAAAAATAACCGAGGAAGACAAAGTATCGCGCTGTTTCTCGCGTTCTCCTCTTTCCTTGCGAGCAGCGGATGCGGTAAGCCTTTATATATTTCAAATTCGTATCTTACATCAGTAAAACAACAGGGAATTTTTTTGATGTAATAAGTACCGACGCTTATAGCCTGCAGACAAGCTCTCCTTTTGGGGCAGTCGCAAGAAGTCACGCGCGAGGGGCAATCGAAAGGAGAGGCGAAAGCGATAAGCGGGAAAAGTCCCTTGCGGCTTTGGCGTTCGATCGCCCGTTGTTTCGCGGCTTGCTTCGCTCGCCGGAAATGAAGTAGCAGCTGCTCGGAAGCTGAAAGCCAATTGGTTTGCTAAACAAACCGGAAAACAATGGTAAACAATGAATTACCATTTTTTAAAAGAACGAATCAGGAGAGACCTTACGAGCAGCTCCTACACTACCGTAATGAAAAGCTTGCTCGCAGGCTACAACCCTTATTACTGTCAGCTCTTCTTATTTAGCTGATGTTTGAAAAGGCGATTGATTTCTTTCAGATAATTGGATTTTTGCATTCACTCTGCGGTCGTAAATGCTCGGATTTGAAAGTTCAAAATATGGAAAAGTAAGTATGATTGTAGGTTAATTTATCCCTCAAAGAATTTATTCTAAATTTTCCCCTTTTGGCCCCAAAATTTAATTGAAAAAGGCCTGTTGATTATTAGTTAAAAATGTTTCTTGATAGCTGAGAGGTGGTGACTCATCCTGGCACGTGCTCTACCTTTGTTTTTTCGAGCGTAACCCACACTCCACCCCTCTCGCAAATAAGACGCCCACGTGTTTTTCCACATGTAGCCTTCGCTTCTTCCTCGTACCCAGGTTCCTCTCTTTTCCTCCCTCCAGAAGAGACGACCCCGGGAACAAGGTTGCGTTCGCTTTCTCACCGGTGGAAACATTTCTTTTGTATTTCCTGCGTTTATTTTGCAGGTATTCATTTGACCCTCGTGATTTGCTGGTCAAAATTTTAACAGTGTTAGTGCGCATGGCAAACGCTAGCGAGGACAGAGAATTTGTCAAATGTCTGGCAGCTAACCCTGATTACAGCAGGCTCAGTATCGAGAAAGCGTTGTGTGTTGTGCAGCGAGAGAATCTCGCTGCAGACCACGTGGTACAAGATTTGAGAAAAGTCATGCAGGAGGTATTATATTCATGTAATAGTTATGTCACTTAATGTTTGCAGTAGTCAGCAGTCGGTTAGCTACCCGCTTCCGTTAACGTTATTTTGATTAATGTTGTCTTCATCACCTACCTAAACTTAAATTACAGACTCGGGCATACTTGTCCAATACTCCGACAAATTTTTGCATGGCTTCGTTTAATTATTTTCTCATTGTTTTGCTTCGTTCTTTGTTGTAATGCTTTTGTTCAGTATTGTAATGTGAACATAATACAATGCCATGCATAAATTTGTCAGAGGGAGTGTAGGCCATTTTAGAGTTGTGTACTCAGTGCCCTGAGTTTTGATTTGTTACAAACTTTCCTGCTTTTCACGTGCAAATGGTGGTATTCTCATGCTAACAAGCCGGTGAACATGATCATTTACCTATGAAAACAAGAGGGTTTGTTACAAAACCCGGTCACCGCCAGCCTCGCTTCTATCCAAAGGCCAGGGCACTGAGCACACAACTGTAAATTGGCCTATTGGACAACCCTTAACTCGGAATGGATCATAAAACGTTTCCGGGAAACTGCCCACCTACCCCTCCCCTAAGCCAGCATTAACACTTACTTCTCACCTAGGACAAAATGTTGGCCTAGGGGTGGGGTAGGTGGGCAGTTTCCCAGAGGCGTATGATGATCCCTCGGGATTAACCTTAACGGTTCTGTATCACGCTCTTTCCTATCTTTTCAAAAAAGCTACAATTTGTCTTCGCATCAATTGAATGCCAAAAATAATGGTCCAGCTTTGTTTTTCCAGACTGTTTTGTCTCTCTTGCTACGGATGGCAAAGATAGACGTTGTTTGAAACTTGAAAAATTTGGGCCAGTTTGAATGGTTAGTTCTTTACTAACCATAATGCGCCTGTTTGCTATGGTTAAAGGCTAAAGGCTCTAGGTAATGACTTAAACACTGAATTGACCTATAAAAACAACAATGTTCTCGTGGCATGGTCCCTTTTGAGACTGCCGTCCTGATATTTTCTTGTAGGTTCAATCACTGTTAGCAGTAGACGACGAGCACTTCTCCAGCGTTGAACCCGAAAATACGATTCCTTCGCCACAAGAGTCACCAGTCATCAAGGAAGAAAGTGAAACGTACATTGAAACTCTTGAACCCCTAAAGTTTGACACCGCTGAACTTGTGGTAAGAACACTCTTTCATTGTTTAGTTGTTAACATTATAATACGCATGCGCATTAGAAGTTAATCAATTATTTTTAAACTGTTATTTTTAACTATTATTTATTTATTTATATTTGGTTGGAACTTTTAATAAATTCGTCTATAATCAGATTCGCGTCATTTTCTAATCGTTAGAAAGTTATTGGACGGGTGACGCAGTGATTCTTTCAAATTTCGTCAGTGGCTTTAGGACGACAAGCGACGAAGAAATATTTTGAATTTAATGGCTATTTGAGTATGATCTTGTAAGAATTGAGTTTCTTTGGTTTCATCTGTCTTTTGCGTATGCTTACTTTTTTGGAAACTGCTACTGTGAAACTTCCTAGGTCATTTAAAGGAAACTTTGACTTATTTGGTTTTAAATACCTTTCAGGACTGTCACGCCTTTCGTTGCCGTGCTTCACAGCCAATTTGTCCCAGGTAAGTATGCCGCATAGCTCTTGGAAATCGTTTGGTTTTTGTCGCAAGTACCGTTGGTTGCATCTAAGCGTGTACACGTGACGAAAAAACATGTTCTAATTGGGTGAAAATAGGACATGTTTTGCCGCCAAACTATTTAATTCGTCTAATTTAAATTTTCTAGACTTTTAACTTTCTGAATTTTGTATTTATGTTTGACTGCTGCTTATATGTTTGTCCTATATTGTCTGTGTGTTTGTCTGTCTACCTGATTGTCTGTTTTGTCTATCTATTTGTTTGCTTTTGTTTGTTCCCTGCTTGTCCTACTGTTTGTCTGCGATATTTTAAGAATATATTTTTAACGAAATCTTATGGTCCACGTGCAATAAAGTTTATGTATGTATGACGTTTGTTGTAGCGTTAGATGAATGTTCACGTGCAAACTAAGCTGCTGTTTGTCGACTTTATTTGTTTTCGATCAACAAACTATTCATCGCAAGACGTTAAGAAGAATTTCTGGAGTATTAAAACTCCAAAGAATAATTCTTGAAAGCAAGTGTGCTATTTCTGAGCGAGAAATAATACTGAAAATTGAGAAAAATAAAAGATGAGCGGAACGCGCTAATCAAAAACATGTAAACAACTTAACCTTTGGCGCGACAGTTTGCTTTAACGGCTGTCAAAAAACTTCAAATGTTTGGTGGCAAAATACATCATGTCTGGCACTCCATTAGAACACGTTTTTTTGTCTCGTGTCCACGCTTAGATGCAACAGACGGTATTAATTAAACAGCCTCTTCAAGAAAACTAAGTGATAAGAACTCAAAGTAAGTTAATGCAACAAAAGATAAACTGGTGCTGTTAAGTGTGTGGTGTACCAAGCGTTAGAAAGTTGAGTTTAGCGTGGAGGCAGGTAGAGGGTGGTAAACTTGGTGAAAATATAATGGGAAACTGTGAAAGGTTTGAACCCAGGAGTCATTTCATAAGTAGATGGAGCATGATCGTCCGGCTGATTGTTGTCCTGAATACGTCTGTTGTTGACAGTGGCTGACGTTTCGAAGACCTGGACCCAGTTGTTCGAAGGCCGATTAGCGCTTAACCCGGGGTTAAATTTGACCCGTGTTTGTTTTTCTTATGTTCAAAAGCATTTTCTCGGATAATTTTCTCTGCTATTTTCAGAGCTTCCAATCATCAACTTGTAGACAAAAAGGATTAAAACTGAAATGCTTTTTAAGCTTCCAAATATGAATTCAAATCTCACACTAACCCTGGGTTATCTTAACCCGGCTTTGAACAACTCCGCCCTGTGCGGTAGTCATCTTCAGAGTCAAAATCAGTTGTATCACGTCAGTTGATGGTTTTAAACTCTGGTTCAATAGCATCAACTGACGTGATACTGAAAACCTGAAGTTGCTCCTTACACGTGTTTTCAATCATGTCATTTTTATTAGATCTAGCAAGGTTCGGGCTCTTATGCGAGAAGCGACTCAGTTGAAGAACAGCTTACCCATTCACCCAAATGCAGCCATTTTTGTTAGACAGGTAAGACGTTTTTTTCGATCCGTTGTGCATGAGGAAATCTCCTTATTGCAATGACATTAAAAAGCCTTATAAGTTTATGATAGACTATAGTGACATGTCATGAAGATAAAACACAAGATAAACGGAAAAAAAAAGAAATGAAATGAAAGGGAAGAATGAAAAACTGAGAAATAAAGTGGAGTGGAGTCGAATGGAATGGAGTAGAATTGAGTGATATTGAATACAGTCGTTTAGACTTTTAGACGTTTTATTATTTTTTATTCTTTGCTCATTCAGGATGAAAACCGCATGGACTTCGTTCGAGCGCTTATCACCGGTACGGTGGACACGCCCTACAGCCGGGGATGCTTCGTATTCGATATTTACTTTCCATCGTCGTATCCTACCGATCCGCCACTGGTTAAGATTATCACCACCGGTAACGGCACAGTAAGGTACGATACTGTGATTTATTCATACCTTATAGCGCCAAAATGACAGTTATTTCGCCCCATATAAGATAATTCGGATTCCGGAATCCGGGAAATTTTTGCTTGTGGAATGTGGAATCCTGGGCTTTGGAATCCGGAATACAGCTCAAGGAATCCGGAATCCTACTAACGATTGAAATTCAGAATTCAAATTCCACTGCCAAATACTGGAATCCAGTACCTGGAATCCGGAATCCACAGCTTATAATCCAGAATTCAAGACTGTCTTGAACATAGGCTGAGTTATTGCTGGTTTGCAGGTGACGTCACGGCGGCCTTGTTGGTGGTCAAGAACAAAAGCATTTCTCTCCTCCGGGAACTAAACTCTATTTTCATGTAAATTCTTCGAGAAAAAATTATATTGTATTGACCCCCAACATGGCCGCCTTGTCACGTGGTTGCAAACCAAGAATTGCACATCACCTTCACTTTTTAGTTAATACTGTAACTGAAATCCGAATTCAATAAATATTTATTATTCATCGCAAAGATTTCCAAGTTCTTTTCAGGAAATTAATGTCATATTTTTATTGCATCTCTAGATTTAACCCAAATCTGTACGCCGATGGAAAGGTAATAGTGTTCTTTTATGTTTATGAGCGAAAGTTTTATTTTAGTCGATTCCTTCCAATTTTTTTTTGAAGCTTGCTAAATATGACTTTATATGCAGGTTTGTTTGAGTTTACTTGGAACATGGCATGGTGGCGATGCCAGCGAGAAGTGGGACCCAAAGAAATCATCACTTTACCAGGTTTGTGTTTGTTAGAAACCTCTTCCTGTATGTTAGAACCTTCTGATACAGCATTATTGACCATTACTGAGGAGGTTATTAAACCTAACTCGGTTTTGTGTCGAATTGTGATTGAGAAGAAACGTTACAAGACTATTTAAAGTAGCGCCCGCGTGAACTAGCGTCATTTTGGCGGGAAAACGCGATAGCCGTCGTGATCCGTCGTGAGAATGTTAGTGGCGAAGACAAGTTATCATTTTGCGATTGGAAGAGGGCTTAACCTTCTTCAATAAAATAATCGTGTTAACGTTTCTGGCGAATCTCGTCTTTTTAGTAGTCTTCGTCCTCGAATCTAACATTGAGCGGAAAACTGGGGCAAAATTGTCCCCTAAAGCAGTACCATAGAGAAATTCGACGCAACACCTACCCAATCTCTTGCTTAGCTTCAAAACAGTCAATAAGATTGCCACAGGAAAGGGCCTGTCATTAGCTTTCCTAAGCAGTCAAGTTTTACCTTTTTTCACGCTAGTCAAAGATTAGAACTGCCTAATACAATAGGCCTGTAACCTGTTACAGACATTTAGAGTTGCGTTACGCCAGGACATTGTCACGTGACTATATTATGTGACTTTGTTGGAGTCGGACTTTCTTTGGAACTTGACTCGAGACTAGTGGAGATAGTTTTTGGCTTTAATTGTTGCTGCTCTGGAATAGAATCAACAAGGACTTTTCCGAGTTCAAAAACTCTCTCTTTTAAAACGAAGTTAATTGCAAAACCTTTGTGAAAATAAGTTTTATGTGCGTGAGAATTAAAAATCATTTTCACATCAATGGCTTTGCACGTAGCCTCGCTTTGACACAGAGGCCCGGGGGAAATGGTAATGGATGTTAATTGGTGAGGCGAGAGTTGGGGGTGGGGGCCTCACTGAGAATTTATTCAAAACATGTCAAACGTTTCCAATGACAGGTTTTCTAAAGTCTTGGTTTGTTTCAACAGGTTTTAGTGTCTATTCAAGGCATGATGTTCACTCCTGATCCTTGTTTTAATGAACCTGGTTATGAAGGAATTCGCGGCACAGACGAAGGAGATGTAAGTAAAATATAATTGTGGAACCGTGAAAAATTTTGTTTTAGTCATCCTCTGGTTAATCTATGTTGTGAAATGAAATTAAGTCATTTTTTAATTTTTTTTTCGCTCCTGAAACAGAGTTTTTTGTCCCTCGACCTGGAAGACGGCACAGCTCTTTCGTAATGTTAAAGATTTGGTTGAGGAACGCATAAAAATTTCGGCTATTATTCTTTGGGAGATATTACTCGTTTGTCGGACGTCAGGCACCTTTGTTTTTTGGTTCCATTTCCTTCTATAAGAGTCTTGTTTGTGTTGTCATAAGAGAGAAAATGCCGCGGAAAAAAAGGATAGTACATCTCCAGGTGGCGTAAGCAGAACTTTGTGTCGTCCATTTCGGTCATACTCGTGATTAAACAAATCGGACTCCCGTGCACTCGAATGATTACGGACCGAATTGGACTCCACTGAGTCCTATTACCATTACAGTCGACTTTCTCTTAACGGACACCTAGATTTGATCCCTTCCTTTCTTTACTCTCTTCTTTTGACTCTCTATAAGACGGACATCTCTGTAAAACAGACACTGGGTGTCTGTCCCAAAGGTGTCTGTCTCAAGGTGATGTTACACGAGACGATTCGCAACCACGATTTTTTCCGCAACACAGCACTGCAATGTTGGAACAATGTTGGAACAATGTTGTAACCATTCGAATCAATGTCGCAACAATGTTGCAACGCTGTGTTGCGCTAAAAATCGTTGTTGCGAATCGCCCCGTGTAACATCACCTTAGCTGACTGTACTTATCATTTGTCTTCTTTTCCTCCTCTAGGCTCTATGCAGAGAATATAATGCGAACATAAAGCTGTATACAATACGCCACGCTATGGTGGGACAGTTAAGGCAACCTACACCAGGTAATTGCATACCGTCGCTCCTTTCTATGAACCCTTTAAGCGCCAGTATCAACATGTATATTCTCCTCACTGTTGTTCGTATGTTTCTTTTTGTACTGTTTGAGAGAATTGGTTCAAGCGTCAAGACATTTTATAAGTGCTGACCATACCGAGGGGAAGTGTGACGTCACGTTGCTATGGCAGCTAGATTTCTGGATTTCACCAATCTCTCTAGACAGGGACGGTCATTTGCATTGTTGGACGATGGACGAAAAGTGATATGGACTACCGTTTTGTCCCCTTGCGCCATCAAGGACCGGAAAATCATACCTGTCAATTTTTCGTTTTTTTTTCCTGCCATGTTTGCCAGACATTTTGCCACCTTAGCAACGTGACGTGACGACTTCTCTCTATTCCTTTCATTCTACATTTGATCTGACAGTGATGCTCTTAGGCGAAATTTGATACTGATCACTATTGGGGCCTGAAAGGTTTAGTAGTCTTCGAATGAGTGGGGCTGCTCAAAAAATATAGGGTGGTACGTCTGAGCATTTGGAAATCCTTCTTCTTGGAAGTTCTTGTTTTTCCTCACGAAACTGACTGACCACAAAACTGTTAAAAATGATTTGAATCAACCCTTAGCAATTCCACAGAAGACTGCACTTCTATACCAACGTTTTGGTTTGGCCCTTGATTGTATTCGCCCTTCTTAGTGTTGACTCTAAAACCTTCTTGCAGTCCTATACCAACGTTTTAATTTTGCCGAAAGGTTGAAGTATTCGCTCGTTTTAGTGTTGACACTAAAACCTTGATAAATGTCTGTTATATAGGTGGAAATTTTTCCCAACCGCACGCGTTCCCATCGACACTACTAGATCTCATGAGAGCTAACAATAAAACTGTTTCCCGTCAAAGCTTTCTAACCGGGTATCATTTAGTAAAAGGCCACAGATCACGTCAACATGAGTTAAAGGGGGAATCGGCCAAGTTTGATATGATTTTCGTTTTTTTTTTTCAAGGTTTTGAAGATGTAATCCGTGCTCACTTCCGTCTTCAAAGGGAGGAGATATTGAAGCAATGCGCGGAATGGTTGACACAGTGCGCAGACGAGGAAGAGGAAACACGCATGCGGAAAGCCATCGATTGTTTGAAAGCAGAGCTTGATAAGTTATAAAGAAAAACGAAAATTTCATTTTCAAAATGTTATGGAAGTTATGGTTTCTCGGAGGTTCTTAGGTCGATGAGGAAACGTTGTAAATTGTTGAGGCTTTTAATATGGAACTTTGCCTCCTTCAATGGCTCAAGATGTAAAAAGCAAGCTCCTCCAGTGTGGCGCTAGATATGGCTTCGAGATATTTATGTTTGTTGGTTTTATAGAGATGTATTTGCTTAAAAAGCGCAGTGTGAAGGAGATGAAATAGTTGACAGAGAAATATTAGGGGTGTCTATGGTGCCATTCCTCGGGCGCTAAACGGCAAATGTCAAACGAAAAACAGATGTAAACGGACGCAGTTGTCATTTGTTGTGAAGCGATCTCAAATCTTTCATTTAGAATTTTCAGGCAGTTCCTCTACCTGTTGTTTGATATTGTTCTTTTAATTATTTAATTGACTAAATATAATAATAATAATAATAATAATAATAATAATAATAATAATAATAATAATAATAATAATAACGATAATAATAGTAATAATAGTAATAAATGCTCTTTAGCCAGGGAAACCTCAGCGTAAAGTGCTGATATTAACGAGGGCCCAGGGCTCGGATAAAGTCCCCTCTGGTAGTTTTTTCGGGTCCTGGGGCCGTGGGAAAATTCAGTCATTCAAAAAGAATCAATAGGAATTTGCTTTGTAAGCGTTCAGTTTTGAGGTAAAATTTTGCGCTAATCCTGGGTTATCTCAAATACTGCTTTGGACAACCGGAGTAAAGAAGATCCCTGTTGTACAAGCCACCAGAGAGGGTTTATGAATTTATAGATTGTTTGAAGCATGCAAACAAAATTGGACTTGCTTTAACGGAAAGGATAAAGCATACAAACAAGGACACACCCCCAAACAACGAGATAGACGTTAATTCAAAATCGTCTAAGGAGTTTTTCTTTTGTCAATTGTTAAATATTTCTTGTTAAATGCTCTAACAAGCAACTGACCATCCAGTTAATTGGAGTTTGGTACTAATAGCTGCCAGAACTAACCCACATGGAGACCCTATATATAGCAAAGCTATTTTATTATAATTACTTGTACAGAAGGTAATGATATTGAGTAAAATTGGGTCTATTGTTAATACCGTGCGTCTTCTTTTTACGACAATTCCAATATTAGTTTACTGAGGACTGTTGCTCAAATTTTAGGCGAATATTAGGCAGACGACACAAGCAAGGTTGTGTTCTGGAATTTAACCTTTCCTCTTCTCTTAAAAGGAAACCGAAATATAACATTGACGGAAAAATAATCAAGGTACTCATTTTTAGGTCAAAAATCAGCTTGGAAGAAAAACACGGTTTAGGCGGAGGCAAGAGGGTAAACGATCACTGTCGTTAAACACTAAAACGTAAAATAGTAATAATAGTGATAATAGTAATAATTACAACTCTACCTGCATTTATGAAAACCGGGTGAGCAAATATTTAGTAATTTCTCTCACCTTCCTCTGTCTTTGCTTCTTTATTGCGTTGTTTGTTTATGTTGCATTTTTTCTTGGTTGTTTCATGTTTAGGGATTTGTGTAGAATTGGCTCTAGACAGAAAATCACGAATTCGCAATTTATCTAACTACCCTCTCCCTCCCTGTTTAGTCTTTTTTCCGTCACTTACCCAAAATTCTCACTTAAACCACGTGACAGTTATTTGAAATCAGTGCGCGCTTAAAGCTGGTTTTGGTACCGTTTTGCAGTTTGCATTTTGTTATTTGCTAACTTGAGAAAAGTTTCCCGGGCTAACCCGTTTGGAAAAATTACAGTTTTAAGTCTTTTTCAAAAATACATTTATATCGTCGCAGAACCCTTCTTTTCTATTTAGAATATCAACGAAAAAAATACTTGTAAGCTACTTTAACCAAAAAAAATTCTTGTAAGTAAGTTCAACCACAATCAAACTTTGAAGAAATTTCCAATTTTTGAGCTAAAATTATGGGTTAACCCCTTTGGAGAAATTCCATTTTTTGCTCTCTTTCAAAAATACCTTTTAATAGTCTTAAAAGTTTTGTTTTCTTTTGAGAATATTCTAGGCTATTTTGATCAAAAAAAAGAAACTTAGGTTTGCCCCCTTTGAAAAATTCCAATTTCGAGTCTTTTTCAATAATACATTTTTATTGCCTTAACAGCTTTCTTTTCTATCTAGGATATTACCAAAGAATATTTTCCAGGCTATCTTAACCGAAGCTAACACTTCGAAGAAATTTGCAGTTTTTTCACAAAAACCATGGGTAACCATGATTTTTTTTCCAAACATACATTTTTATCACCTTAAAACCCTTCTTTTTTGTCCAGAATATTAACAAAAAATAGTTGTAAGCTACTTTAACCAAAATCAAACTTTCAAGAAATTTGCAATTTTTGACAAAAACCACGAGTAAACCCCTTTAGAAAAATTGCAAGTCTTTCTCAAAAATACATTTTCATTGCCTTCAGCTTCCTTTTGTCCAGAATGTCAACAAATAATATATCCGGGCTATTGAACCGAAAATACAATTTTTAGGCCGCTTTGAACATAAAAGAAACTTTGAAGAAATTACCACTTGTTGTCAAAAATCACAGCTTAACCCCTTTGAAATAGTATTGATTTTTCAGCCTTTGTCAAAATACATTTTGATGACCTAAAAAGTCTTCATTTCTTTTTTTATTGCCTTAACAGCCTTCTTTTCTATTTAGAATCAACATATAGTTATTTTCCGGGGTATCTAAACCAAAAATATAATTTTGAAGAAATTTGAAATTTTTGACAAAAACCATGGGTTAACCCCTTTGGAAAAATTAAAATTTTGAATCTTCTTCAAAAATACAGTCTTATCGCCTTAAAACCCTTCTTTTCTATCTACAAAATCAGACAAAAATGCTTTTAAGCTATTTTAACCAAAAAACAAAATAATCTTTGAAGAAATTTCCAATGTTTTGTCCAAAATCATCGGTTGACCCGTTTGGAAAAGTTGCAATTTTTATTCTGTGTCAAAAAGACATTTGTATAGCACATAAAGCCATATTTTCTGAATATCAACAAATAAGATCTCTAAGATCTCTGACATTAACAGTATTTGACCAAAATGATGAGTTAACTGCTTTTGAAAAACTGGCATTTTCTGTCTTTGTCCAAAATACACTCTTATTTCCTAAAAGACTTTCTTTTCTATCTAGAATATCAATGAAAAATAGTTAACATTTAAGGTCTTTTTTTTTTTACCAACAGACAAACTTTGAACAAGTTTCTGGTTCTTAATCAAAATCATGGGTTAACCCCTTGGGAAAAATTCGATTCTCACTCTATGCCAAGAATACGTTATTATAGCCTATAATGGCATACCGTAAATCCTCTATCAACCCCCTCGGGGGTTTATTTGTTTCAAATACGTTTGAGGGAGGTGGAGGGGGGGTTATTAGAGACGGAGGGCTTCTTGGAGGGAGGGGGCTTATTTAATTTAGCAAAGATGGTGGTATTAGCTCTCCATAAAGAACTAGAGAGAAAAGTGGAAAAGCTCAAGTATAAGAAGTTGAAGGTCATGCGGCCAAGGATCAAAAGCAAATCCAACCTTCTAACACGTAAATATACAATTCAGGATCAGTCCAAATGAAGTTTTACGGTCATGATTGATTTATACAGTCTATCACTTTTTGGTGAAGAATAATAAGTGGGAGGGGGGAGGGACTTGAATCTCAACAGAGTTAGATTACGTAAATGTTCCAAACTCTAGCGTCATCATTTACTCACTAAAATGCTACTAGGGACCTCTAACTCACTGCCCAGCGTCAGATAAAGGCTTGTAATAGGCCTTTGAATGATTTTTCATTGGTTTAGACTATCAAGTAGTAGTTTTTAAATATCTGGGTATAATTTAAAAAAAATAACAATTGCGAGCGACCAGAGGAGTACTCAATCCTAATCCTCAGGTTGCTATTACGCATGCCCGGTACGTGTAGTCATGTAGCAGCTCTCCTAACCCTAAAAGCCAATTGGTTCGATACCCGAACCGTGAAACAATGGGAAATAATGATAAACAATGATGTGTTATTGCCTTCTGCGACCAATCAGGAAACATCTTACGAGCAGCTCCTACATTAATGGGTACGTATGTAGCCAGTACTCGTTTGGACTCCCACTGAGAATCAATGGAATGCATAGAAAGCAATCTGATCACGTGCATTTGAATCCAGTCTTTTACGTGAAACTTACGTAAAAGCACAGCGTTGGAGCAAGAACATTTTGACCTTTTATTGTTCTCGCCCGCACTTCCTAACTTTCGCTAATACCTGTAATAATATTGTTACAAAGGCTTTGGGTTTTCTTAGCAGAAGTTAAGTGTCACGGAAAAGGTATTCGATATTGCTGGGCACAAAAACCATAAGAAGCCTGTGAGCCATACTTGAACCTTGACTCCTACAAACTATTTTGTGGTAAATATATTCAGTATTGTTGGTTTTCACATGACGTTACCAAAAATCAACTAAAAAAACTATCGATCCTACCGAGATTTTACTTTCACGATGCATTAGAGCAGCTGAAAACTAATTTTCATACAGATTTTCGCTTCAAAAGGGTTCTTGGTTTTGTGTAGAGTACGCTTGAATTTCTAAGCTTTTGCGTGACGCGGCATTTACATGACGGCCAAGGGAGCTGTCATGTGGGTTAAAAAATGACTTATTTCAGGAAATTTTGCGCTCTAAACAGTTCATGTTTAAGAAAAAGTATTACTTTAATGCTTATGAGTTTCTCGAAGAATAAATTCACTCTTTTGTAGCAAAACTCGGTAACAGATGTTTTTGCTGGTTTCCGTCCCCCATGTTGGAGCTCATCCAGGCGAGCACCAGCATGGCGTCTCCATACATCTCTATAGGTTTGGGTAAAACATGTCTTCGGATATCACGTATACGAAATATTCCTCTGACCTGAATCTTGGCGAGGGTCTGTATATTTACCTCCTTTCATTTCCCAGATTCTGGGCTTTATCTATTGAACGGTTTTGATTTTTATTATGATCTATTTTGAATGGCGTGACACTGAAAACCAGCAATATTTGATACGGTTTTGTCTTCTTTATGACCTCGAGGGCGTTCCCTGTGATTTGTAAAGCTTGGGAGCAACGACAACCAAGGCATGCTAAATTTATTACTTTAATCTTCTAATCCTCAACATTGAATGCCATAACAGAAACTAACGATAGCATGCAGATTCGTTTAAGGAAAGGCATTTTTTATCACAGAATCCATCATCATCATTGAAGCTGAAGCGAAGCGAAATAATTAGCAACAGTCCTTAATTGTTATCCAAACTACAA